GAGAGAAAAAAATTGCGACGAAAAGGTATCAATACTAATCTGGGGTTGAACAGGCTTTGGGGATGGTGATGGTTGCCGCGTGGGATGTGGGGATAGGTTCGCGGACCAGGTTATCATAACTCTCCTCATTGGGACTGCACTTTTGCAAGGTGAGTTGACTCTTCAACCTTGGGAACTATGCAAAAACAACGAATGCAGTCAACCTAGCCGTTTCCGTGTTAGTTCTTGCCAAGTGAAAGTGAATAATGTTAGTTTAAGTGTTGGATCTATTGAATATGTTAGTTCTACCTGGGTTAATGTTCGTTCTAGGCGTTTCCGTGTTAGTTCTTGCCATTTCTAGCACAAGTGTTTGTTTTGGTGGCCATGTTAGCCCTATCTCACGCTTGTTAGTTCTAGCTGCCCTCCTGTTAGTTCTATCCCTTCTCGAGTTAGTTCTACTCCGGGCTGGCGTTATTTCTATCACAAGTTTTTGCTCTGGTGGCTATGTTAGCCCTAACTTACTCCTCATTTAACATGAAAATACTTACAACACACAACAACAACGTAGTTGTCTGTAAATGTACACGCAAAACAATTAACAACATATTAACAACATGAACATACTTACAACATTGAATACACAACAAAAACCTTGGAGAAAATTAAAATAATATTTACAAAAAAGGTGAATCGCGTGCATACAAAAGAGCAGCACAAAACCTTGCTCTATATTTTGCACAATCTCCTTTTGAAATTGTTATCGACCGTTTTTCGACAATGCTGTTAATGAATTCCATCATAAAGATCCCGCAATCTAACGTTCTGCATTTAAGGGAAAAATATTACAATATTGAAAATGACTGTGAAACAAAAAAATGAACAATTAAATTAGAAATGCATGAAACACTTACGGTCCTTGTTGTGGCACGGCAACTGACACAAGACCATGATGCTCCAATTTCCCCAATCCCCAATTACTCTCAATGAAACTCATAAACTTATTTATAAATTTCACAGCATCGGCGGTATAAATGGGGGAGTTGATTGAGGAGTAGTGATAGAATTTTGTCTCCTCTCTCACTAACTCTACCAGGTGCCAATGTCCGGAGCTGACAATCGGGATCAGAATTCTTTCACACTCCAAGAACTTCTGCTGAGAAACATTTTCCTTCATTCGTTTTGCCACCATTTCAAGATTTCCTTCTAGAAATGCTTGCTAAAAGATGCAATAATGTCAACATTGTGGGATAACATAATAATAATATCCACCAATTAGTGAAAAAAACAAGGATATACTTACTGCAAGCCAAGGTCTTGTGACATGTATCTTTCGATCATAACTATCACTTGTTTCAATCTTGTTACAAAGCCGAATAACAAATGCATCGATCACCTACAAAAATTACCATGAATGAATAAAATAGTTAATATAAATTATTTTATATACAACATCAAACAATCAATAACACAATTGTTTAGAACCTACATCGTCACTGAGTTCACCTCCCGTTAATAGTATATAAGCATCTAAGCGAGATACGCTTGCTTCGGCACACTTCCAAATGTACGTATCACTATATGCAAGTACATTGTGAGAAAATTGCTACTAGAATTAAGTAAATTCAAAGATTATTATTAGAATAAGTCAGTAACAGTTACCTGTTCATTCTCGATTGTAGAAAGTCTTCAATTAATTTGTTCTCATAATCAAACGCCAGTGCCTTACCTGGATAGTCTCTAGATGTAGGTATGAAGCCTTCTTCATTTTTGTACTTTTTTTCCCATCAGGACTATCCAATATCTGGATGACACGTCTCTTCTTTGTGCCTTCCTTTGGTTGATCTAGAGGCATATAAGGTGAAGTAATAGAGGGTCAATCCTTCCTCTCCCTCTTTCCGACAGCCCGTTTGATAGATGGCGTTTCTCTGTTATTCTCATTACCACCTTCATCTTTTTGAGAAACATCTCTATAGAGTCGAGAAGGCATATAATTAACAAAGAGTTACACAAGAATTATATGGAAAATATAAAAATTAAAATTGCAAGAAAATTTAAAAAACTAAACTCACCGAGCATCTTCTAAAATTCTCATGTCTCTTGGGCTCATCACAAAGTCATCACATAAATCGGCTTCCCCAGTTCCTTCCAAATTCTCATATTCCTTAGCTTCCATATCCTCTTTGATTTTTTTTTCTTCAGTTACATTTCCGTCATCCTCTTTCTCCTTGGTTTTTTTTGGCATCTAGCACTACGCTCTTCTAATTCTCGTAATTCTGTAGTGAGCTCATTCAACTCGTACGTCTTCTCCGCAATTAAGAAAATTAATTCAGCTTTCCTTGATTCCTATTTGACCAAAAAAAGCTAGTATTAGTACGTATACTATAGTTGCAAACATAGATACTAACAAAAGGGACATAAAATAATGAACTATTAGAGCAACGATATGTACAAATACTATTGGCGATGCCGTATGAATAAGAGGAGTATTCTCTTGGCCATTATCCGTAACCAACTTCGGGACTCTATATAATTTGTTCATAGTAGTCCTCCTCCACTTTCCAGTACTCTTCACACAAAAGAGCAGCGGTAACCTTTCAACATCTGAATTATACTCTAATTCCCCCACTTTTTCATAAAACCAAACCTACAAAAAAGAAACTACACATTAGCATGTGCATAAACAATAATCATTATCAAAATGAAAAGATATACAAAATAATGTTCATGTAACTCACCAGTAAAACGGAGGAAAAACCACCCATGTACCCGGCATTTGAGCGCTGACCTAATTCCCGCATACTAAGAGACTTCTTTGATTTACTCATCTCTTTGCAAAGAAGAGTGAACACCGCATGGCACCAATTATATTTATGCAAAGTTGATAACTGCTCCGCATATCTAAACGCCCACAAGGGACATGTCTTACATGTCCGCGGGCATAATATGAAGCCGATAATGAAAGCCACAATAAGTTTCACACATATTATAGGGTCTTCATTAATCATATCTACAATCATCTCGGCCATTCTATCGCGCTTCCCCGAAATCACCGCCTTCTTTTCCTCATCGGCTTTCTTATAATTCTTTACAAAATAGGTGTAGATTGTATTAGCCGCTGCCCCACTCATTTTTATCGGAATTCCCTCCTTTGGCAATCCGGTAATTCGGTGAATATCATCTATACCGAACACACAATTTTTATTCCCAATCATGAATGAGCATTTATCAGGATTAAAATTTTGAATCAAGCAATCAATTGCTATTTGCTCATTGCTCAAGGATGTGGGTATATTGAGAAAGCTGTGAAAAGGTGTCGTCTGTAGGGCTTTTAGGTGTCTTTCATCTAATTTTATTCGCTTATCAATTAAATCTCGAAAATAACACAAATTGGCCGGAATTCTCAAGTGTGTTATCTTAGCCCTACAAGAAAATTATAATTCAGAAAGAGTTAAAAATTAAATATATTTGGGCAAATTAAGACGCATATTAACAAGTTTATTAACACAAACATTATACATCATGGCTTACAACAAAAATTATAATTCAGAAAGAGTTAAAAATTAAATATATCATGGCAAATTACTTACGAAGTTGGAGGATTATTGCATTTAGAAGAGGTAGGCTTTGATTTTGAAGAATTCGAAGACGTCGACTCTTTCAATTTGTTCGAAGCCATGAGGGCAGACGTCGAGGGCTTGGTCGAGCTCCGGAGGCGGCGATGAACCTGAGGGCTGAGCTCAAATGCCATCGGAGGCGTGGCTGATGACGAGGGGTGAGTTCGATGGCGAGGAGGAGTAGACGGCGCTGACCCGGCGGCGACGCTCAGCGGCGGCGATCTCGGGAGCTGGAGAGGAGGAGGGGAGGTGATGGCTAGGGCAAGGGGACGGCGGCGACGCTGAACGGGGACGTCGAGGGATTGGCCGAGCTTGGGCGGCGGCGCTTTCGGGCGGTGGTGAGGAGGAGGGGGTCGGTGATGGCGCGATCTGAGCGGGAAAGAAGAGAGAAGGGTAGGGATTTTGGGGGATGGGATTTTCAACGAAGGGCTCAGATCTCTTTATTGGGTTTATAATAAACCGCCCAGATCCCGCATCCTCAGATGACAGCCTACGGAGTCACCCCGGCAGATATCAGCTTTTTCCTATATATATATATATATATATAATATATATATATATATATATAGTATATATATATATATATATATATATGAGAAGAACGGATGTGAGCTGGCAGCGTAGGAAAATTCCTACGCTGCAAGTGTATGACATGTGAGCCCACACCCGATGTGAACTAGTAGGGGGGCTCACATGTCATACACTTTCAGCGTAGGAAATTTTCCTACGCTGCCAGCTCACTCCCGTTTTCTCTTTCTCTCATCTCTCTCTCTCTCTCTCTTCTCTCTCCTCTCTCTCTCTCTCCTCCTCTTATATATATATATATATATATATATATATATATATAATATATATATATATATATAATATATATATAGGAGAGAGAGAAAAATGAGTATACTTGGTACCAAGTACAAATTTTGTGCTTGGTAGTGAGGTGTCTCATCGCCATCACCTCATTCAATTGGGGGACCACATTCACTCATGTGAATGTGGTCCCCCATTGAATGAGTGGAGGATAATATGCCACCTCATCTACAAGCACAAATTTTGTGCTTGTACGAAGGCATACCCATATCCTCATATATAATATATATATATATATATATATTATATATAATATATATATATATATATGCTGTCGGGTGTGTGTAAGTTAAGGAACATGTAAATCAGATTATCGATAACACAAGGTCTTCTTTGTGCCACTTGACAATAGAAACCCTTTCTATAAAAATTTGATGAATCAAACTGAGTTTTAGGAAAACTTCAGAAATCTTTTAATTATCAAAGTACCACAGTTAGATGGTTTCTATAAACTTTTCAATAATTTTAGTGAACCAAACATCCCATAATGTCCGAACACTAGATGCTCGCAATATGGTAAACGCCATTTTCCTCAAAATCTTTTTGTGGAACAGGGAAAAGATCTCTTAGAAGTATTGGACTACAGAGCCCACAAACATCACAAATAAGTACGAACAAGCGATTAAGTGAACACAAGGAATTTTTGCCAAGTTTCAGCATACAAGCCTTTCTTCATGATTCCTCAGCAAGGAAAATCACCATAATCCACAACAGTTACAGGTTCTGATTAAAACAAACTTGTAAACCCTCCGCTCACCTTGCACCGAGACCCCAAATACACCCACAGTCAAGAGCCCAAAGCGGATGATCTCCCTCGCCACGAACCACCCGAAGAACCTGGGCACATCCACGCTTAAAGAGTCACAAGAGGATGATTCTCCCTCTCTCCAACAGGATGTCTTAAATCAACACTCACACGCGCCCTTTTATAGCCTTTGCAATGAAAAGTTCAATCAAGACTGCCTATTTGTGCGCTGAGCATTGATCAGTGCGTCATTTCATTTTCCATGCATCAATCGCGACCTTCCATCTTGCTCATGAAGCTTTCACATTTTCAGTGACAATCTCCAAGCTTCCATATTCCAGATCAACTGATGGGACTTTGGCTCGTGAAATTTAGGGAAAGCCAGAAGAAAAGGAAGGCAAGCTAATTAAAGGGAGATCGCTTCGGTGTTTAGTTTGATGATGGATTCTCATTAAGGGAGATTGCTTCAGCGTTTAGCAGATGCTTGGAACATTGCACCGTTGCATGCTCACAAAAATCTATTTCTGTTCTTTAGTCGGACCATTAACCATTAACAGAATAAGTCGACCTCCTGAATAAGTCGATCTTCAGGTTAACGGAAACAATGCTTTATACTCGAACCACATATTTTTCTACACTGACTCGTTTGCCTGACATCCCAATTCCTAATAACCTTTATCCAGTTAAATTCTGAAAACTCAACGTAATCAATATTCAAATTTTAAATAGTTACTGCTACATCAACACAAGGGGTAAGGATTGTAGTATAGGTATTTGGAAGTTTATGGGGGTACCGAAATACGTCAGACCATCAGGACTCTGTTGTGACTGTTTGTTAATCAATCTAAAGGAGACCCTTTACGCATCTATAGCAAATTGGACTTACCGAAGGCATTTAGCTCTATAGAATTGGTATCCAAACAACTAGCATCCGCTTGATGACGATTGACAAATGACAGCTTTTTTCCACAAATCCTGAAAAAGGGTATATAAACCGTTATACCATGAAAATATTTTGCATGCCACGTCATCATCACACGTGACTGACACGTGAATGGACAAGGTAAACCACAACAATTTCCACTTCACTTAAAAGGAGCTCGGGAGATAACTCCAAGTAGAGAGCTCGGGTGAAGGCTCAGTCCCAAAGGCCGAGCTAGCTGCAAGCAGATTTCCTTTGTCATAAAACTGTCACCCAGAGAAGAATATTCCGCTACACACGTGTCTGACATCAGTGTCACATTCTTTTTGGAAATAAAGGACAACAGTCCAAGTATAAACTGCCCTACTTTCTTTCTCCTTCAATCACAGCCGTATAATGTTTCATATATAAAGGAATGAAGAGTGATAACATCCCTAACTATTGCTAGGATTTTTGCCGCATGTACTATTCTTTACTATCCTAGGAGAGGCTCTAACTTAAGCATCAGAGGGCATACCGGAACCTCAAACCCCCGGGATCATTCCGGCACCGCCTAGTGAGTTGTTTCAGTGTGCAGGTTAGGAAGAATATGAAAGATTTCAACCATTAGCAGATTCATCGGAGGCCCAGTTTCCTTTATTCACTCCACTTAATTAGAAGAGTAATCTGAGAGAAATTTACTGTGTTGTGTTTACTGTCTTACAACAGAGACTAATACACTAATAAAACATAGAACAGTGAGAACATATTGACTATTAATTCAAATAAAGGTAAAAAGAAAAGAATGTAACCTGCGCTGCTGCTCCCTGTTACACATCTACTATGCCAACTCGAGCTCCATCTTATAGGCAAGAGCTGAAGCTCAAATTAAAGATCCTTTCTCTCCTCTCGCCCACTCCGCACATAGCACAGAATCTTCATTTCTCCCCGAAATGCTGCTACCACCTTTGCAACCTGATGGAGAAGGTATCCCAAAACATAATATGCGCAACAAAGGGGTATGGGGAAAATTAGTGTAAAATTTCGAATCTATGCAAATAAATAAATAAATATTGAAAAAGGAAGCATGGAATGTCAAAGATCAGATAACAAATAATGTATCACTGTTAAGACCTAGGCTCAAAAAGAAGACTAAAGAATGTGATACATAAAAGAGAATTTATGTCAGATGCTTATCTGTTCTGTAAATGCATATCCAACAAACTGCTCAGTTTGGATTTAGTACCAAGTTCTATGATTAAACCACGTTTAAAAAAAAGGAAATAAAGCTTTAATGTTAACAGTTAACAAAAGCTAAATTTGAAATATCTTCTACCATAAAAATTAACCCAAAAAAAAGTAAAATGTGATTTAAACAGTTCTCAAAAGATTGGCAGCAAATATACCTGTCACCTTTCGTTTTGGATGTCGTTTCCTACCAACGAGCACGAAAAATATCCCACCCTCAAGAGAAAATCAACTCCACACAACCAAATAGTTACACCTTGCATTTCTTTTCCTTCATTCAGAACTTCAGGCACAGCCAGCCTCTGCCAGGAAGTATCGAACAACTGATAATCACATCCAAGAATGTGTTCGAAATAAAACCCAAAATCCAGAGATGTCTCATCCAATATAAGGTTCCCAGGTCAAGATCCATAGTGTCATAGGTGTGGGAAAAACTAGCAGGTATGTATCTTTGAAGCCTTTTACGTGGCTCCATCTTCTGATAAGAATTGGTGTTTTGGGCTGCCACATTTGCAACCTGATAAAGAAGCTATGCCAAAACGTATTATGAGCAACAAAGGGGGATGGGAAATATTACTGTTAATTATCGAACCTATATCCAAAAAAAAAATAGCAATTGGATATTAAAAAGGCATGCAGAACCTCTGCCAAAATATAATTGAAAAAGTAAATGTGGAACATCAAAGATCAGATAACAAATAATGCAACACCGTTGAGCTCTAAAAAAAATAAAGAATGCTATCCATATGAGATACTTTACGTCAGATGCTTACCTGTTGTATAAAATACATATCCAGCATTCTTCACACAACAGGTCCACTTTGAACAAAAACAACCTACTTACCTGTTGTATAAAATACATATCCAGCATTCTTCACACAACAGGTCCACTTTGAACAAAAACAACCTATAATATTAACAATGATAATCACATTGATATCTATTTTTCTCTGCACTGCTCAATTTAAATTTAATACCATGTTCTATGAGTAATCACGTTTAAAATTTAAAAATAAACAGGAAATAGAGCAATATTTGTATTAACAGTTAACAAAAGCTGAATTTGAAATATCTTCTAAAAGTTTTAACAAAGCAAGCAAAACATGATTAAAGCAATTCTAAAAAGATCAGTAGCAGATATACTTAATCTGTCACCTCTTCTTTTGGATGCGAGTTGGTACCAATGAACAGGGCAAATATCCCAACATCAAGAGATAAAATCAACCCCAAACAACCAAATAGGTACACCTTGCATTCCTTTTCTTTCAGACCCTCTGGCACAGCCAGCCTCTGGCAGAAAGTATTGAACTACTGATAATCACAGCCCAGACTGGGTTTGAAGTAAAATCCAGAACCGAGCGATGTCTTATCCAATATAAGGTTCCCAGGTCAAGATCCAGTCGA